AGAGATACATGGGAAAAGCTGAGAGAGACAAGACGGGAGACGGAGGAAAGAGATGGACTGAGGAGACAGACATAAACCAGAAGGTAGATGAACTCAAGAAGACAAGAAGGAAGAAGCCTGGACTGAAGAAGAGATAACTAACCTAATGGCCAACATAGAATAGTTTAAATGGTTAAGTAAGTTAAGACCTAGTCGGTGAATGAATCAAAGTCTATGGCCTAGTTATTTATTAATCAATATTTAGTCTCAGAGTCATCATTCCAGGAGAAAGATTGGGAAGGAAAAAATGGATTTAGAAAATACATTTATAAGATTTGCTACCTGGTGTGACTCCTTATCAGAAGAAGCCAAGAAGCAAAGAAGAGAAGCGAAGAAGCGGAGCTGAAGCTCCTGAGCTCCTCAACTGAGCTGGGGTACCCTCCCCTAGGAGCTACAATGCATCTGCTGAGGAGGCTTCCTCACAGAGCTCTGTGGCTTCTGGACTCCTGTATCTCAGGATGCCCTTCACTTAGTACACTGTCCCACCTCAGAGCTGTGTGGCTCCTGGGCTCCCATGTCTCAAGTACTCTTCCACTGGGACACTGTCCCACCTCAGAGCTGTGTGGTTCCTGGGCTTCCGAGTACCAAGATATCTTTCCATTCAAGCAGGAAAGCCAACAGAGAGACTCATAACTGGTCAAAGTGCTTAGAGTAAGTGTTGGTGTAGTGCTTAGTCCTAAATGGATCAGCTATATCACTTCCTGCAAGACTCAAGAAACATCATAGAAAACCAGTGGTGAGAATGTAAAAATTAGAGCATTAAGAGGTATGTTATAAAAGGGTGTCTTCTGGACACAACACGGCCATTGTATTCATGAACTCACAGCATTTATGGTTACCTGTACAGAACCTGCACAGAATTGGGTCTGTTGGCATTTCATCATTGATTATGGAGGGAATCATGAGCCTCTCTACCTCTTCCAAAAGAGATAATAGGCAGTTAGTGGTTGTTGGCCTTCCTGCTTGGAATGGAAGGTGTAGGTGTCCAGGGACTCAGAAGCACAGGAACTACATGGTTCTGAGGGTAGAAGATATCTCAGTGGAAGAGAATCCTGAGACATGGGAGCCTAGGAACCACATGAGTTCTAATAGGAAGCATTCTCAGCAGAGGCCTTGCAGCTCCCAAGGGAGGGTTTCCCCAGCTGAGCTCAGGAGCTCAGGAGCCTCAAGCCTGCTTCACATCTTCACTTCTTTCCTTCTCTTATTGCTTCTTGGCTTCTGATGAAAGAGTTGCACCAGACAGCAAATCTCACAAAAGAGATTTATTGGGAGGGTCCAAGGTATGGGGGGACAAATGCAGGGGTGGCTGCCTCTGCTCCTGGGAGATGACAGCAGGAAACTGAGCAGACAGTGCCTTTATATAGTATGTCTTAAGCGGGGCGGGGAAACAGAGAGTTCCAGAGTGAAAATTGGTGAGATTTCAAGTCTTGAGCTTGGGGAGCTCAGGAATTGGTGGGTTTTCCCTGTTCAGGCTTTCACCTAAAATTAGCACAGTTTGGAGAGGGTTCTGTTGAGGGGCTGGAGATGACCTTTGTGACACTTACAAAGGCTGGAAATTTTGTTATAGCAGGGAGCTCTGGGGAATGTCTGGCTGCTGGAGCTCTTAGGCCAGGCCCTGGCCACTTTCCTGGCCTGTTTCAAAGTTTATAAATTATACAAAGTTTACAAAGGGAGTCCACATCAGGGAATGCTTTTCCAGCCTCTTGAGTAGCACGAATATCCAACAGTGGTTTCTGTGTGGAGTTGTGTTGGTTCATTTTTGTCTACTCCACACAAACCTAGATATATCTGAGAAGAGACAATCTTAATGGAGAAAATATCTACATAACACTGGCCTACAGGCAAAGTCTGTGGCACTTCCTTTGATTAATGATTCATGTAGGAGGGCCCGACTGACTATTTATGGTGCTAGCCATGGACAGTGCATCCTGGATAGTATAAAAAAATCAGGCTGAGCAAGTCAAGGGGAGCAAAGCTCGTAAGTAACACCCCTCTATGACTTCTAGTCCAGTTTCTGCCTCTAACTTCCTGCCTTGAGGTCCTGGACTGATTTCCTTGTAAGTCCTTATTGCTGAAGACACTGCACACTTACAACACAGGACTTAAATGATTGATTCAAGCTGTTTCTAAACTGAAAGCCTTTTTTCCTGAGGTCTAGCTTTCATAGTTCCAAAAAGTATTATGCAGGCTGTCAAGGGAACAAAGCAGTCAATAGTCGTAACTGGCTGTAACACTTCTAAACCACAACAATGATCAGTAAGGCAAAATATACATAAATGTGCAATAGAGGCATTTACATGTTGGTAGTAACCACCTGATGTCTATTGGACTTACGACCCACTCAACAGGAAGGAAAACATCTACTAGGATCCTAGCCAACTTCCTGGGGCTAGTGAGGTCATCTATCTTAGATCTACTATTGCTTTTTTGCTGGGTCAATATAATTCCTTACTATGTTATAAACATTAACCTTATACCTACAGATAATTGTAGCTCTCACTTCTCATCAAAGATTTTCTTTTTAACAAATAAGAGACAACTACAGAAAGCTGCAGCTGAACATACAGCAAAGATCAACAAAGGATCTTCTAGCCCCAATGGATACATCTAGTTCATTTAGTTCACAGATAAAAGACACAATACCTTTAAATTTATCTTAAGCCTTAAAAGCAGTAGAGCTGGTCAGATATCAACCTTGTATGCTATTTTGTCTACTTCTCTGTCAATAATCCAGAGATAGCACTTGCCATGTTCTGCCTGGGCTGCTCCTACCCCAATAGGCCAACCCTCATAACCATGACCTCACATCTACCCACACCATGGTGCCTTCTTACTTACTCTTCCACTCTCTTCTTCATGGTCTTTACCTCAGACCCTACACCTGGGAACTGAAGCCCTGCCTACCTCTCTTCTGCCCATCTGCAGGCTGTAGGCATCTATATTAACCAATAGTTTTAAATTAAGGAACAATATTTGCACAACAAAAGCTGATATATGTGGAAATTTACTTGTCTGGGGGCAACTAGACCTTGGGATACAGAATTTAGCATTATAATGCATAGTAACAGACCAAACCTCAACACTACATCACATAGATGAGCCCCTGCATCTATGGCTCAGGAAACATCACAGAAGAAAGAACAGAGAACTTGTAAGAGGCAGAATATTAGAAAGTTTGCTGTGAGACCATCTCTCCTAGATATAAAACAAGGCTGTAAAAACAAGACCTAAACAATGGTAATATCAATAGACATGCCAACCTGGAAGACAGAAAATGTTACCGGATCCTATCCCTAGACAAAAAAACTATAGGTAACTAATGACTTGTGAGAGGAGAGTTAGTGAGAGATAGCTCCTTTAATTGTTCATCTGATGCATCTAGCATAGCTCCAGGGACAGACTTGAGTGGGATCAGTGAGGGAATGAAGAAAAACCAGGGAGATACAGGGATACACAGAAAGGCTGGCATTGGGTGGTCTGGCTCTTGGCTGAAGAAATCTCAGCTACCTGTGAGCTAAGTGTACATAAGTACATAAGCAGAGTTGAACTGAGAGGTGGAGTTATTGCATACAACTGAATTGGAGGCAAGGCTACTATACACAGATAAGGAGGCAGGGTTTATATTATATGAATGAATCAAGGAGATGGATTTATCTGATCTTGGTAGGGATAGCCTCTGTAAGGAACCAGTCTTCAGCTCATAAATATCTAGCTGAAGAAAGCCTAGGTGGCCATTTTCTACACACACAGTCAATATCCACACTTGAACCAGAGGAAGACTTTGCCATGTTGCTGAGACTCTCCCTTCTGGGGAATGAGGTGGGGGGGGTGTCTTGCCTGTTCCTCAATAGGTCCTTAAAATGGCCATGCGTATGTCAACATCATATATCCACTCAGGGCTTTCCTAACTTAGGGCTTTCTCTTCTCCCTACAGTTATCTGTGAAGTGTTTTCTGAGAGCACAAAAAAATAGGTGTTCCAGAGATAGCCAAAGTTGTACCTCCTGCAGTAATTATACTTGGTAAAGTGTAAGAATCACCCAGGTGGTGCTGGTTTTGAAGGCAGGGAGTGGTCATGAAGAGCAGCTGAGGAGTGGCACTGTGAGAGGCCATGGAAGGCCATGAAGGTGCAGGCTCAGTTGCAGTTGATGACCCAGGCCTGAAAGAGTCATACAAAGGATTTGAGGCTTGGCACCATGAAAAGAGCCTATGAGAGGCTATTGGTGAAGCCTATATAAATATAGGCTATTGGTGAAGGCTATTGCAGCTGAAGGCCCCAATGTATTGGAAATGCCAGTACCATGGGATAATCACCAAGAACAACAGCGACAGTGGAGTAGATCAACCTGAGCTTAGAGTGCTAGAGAGGGCAGAGCTGCAGAAGCGACGCCAGCCCTTTGGAGAAAGGAGAAGATCATGTGTGGATCCCAGACATTGAAACAATTAGCTGTGACACTGAAGTTGCCTTAAAGACCCCAAGATATTTGAGATGCCAGAGCCATGGGCTATCTACTGAGGAAAGCTACTAACAGGGAGTGGAACCAGCTCAGGAGAAAGAAGTCTGTTGCAGTCAACAAAGATGACATTAGAGGCATTAGAAATCTGAAAACCACTTTGACATCAGACATGGAGATGCAGAGTTTAGACTTTGGCCAGCTAGTTTCCTGTCTTGCTACCTTCTGTCACTTTCTCTTCACATAACACACTGAATCAAGATTCCTGCCTGCCTTCTCTCTAATCTGCATTTTCCCTGAAGGCTTGAACCTGCTCTCATCCCTGCCTGCCTCACAGTTAGGACATCTGGCTTATTTCAGTCACCTTGGCTGCCCAAGTTCTGTGAAGGAATTCCAGGGCAGTTAGGATATGCTGACCTCACACTGGAAGCTCTAACTCAGAACTCAAACATTCCACTGCTCCAGCCGCTGGGCTGTTAGATAAGTCTTTCTTTCTTGTGTATGAAAAATAACTGATAATTTTAGAGTGATGCACAAGGCTTGGAGTTCTTCTATGTTTTTATTTTGTTTTTTATTGGAATGCCTACTTCATGTCTGCTTGCCTTATGGAGGTGAGCTTTATACTGCTGAGAAAACAACAGACTCATCAGGTAATTTCAGCAATAGCCTTTCTTATTTCAGGGGGGACTAAAGTCTTTTTTTCAGGGAAATAAAAAGAAGTTAATTACATTTCACTGCTACAAGTTTTCTTTTCAAGTGAGTAGACAGTTAGAAACATCTAAAACTTCTATGAGACAATCCAGAGGCTTTCTTTCAATACTTCAACCAACAGAAGTAATAATCCCAGCAGGTAGGTCTTTGCATAACTTACTGAAGTGAGGATCAGAGCCAGATGAGTGGTGATGGTGGTGTGTGGTGTAGTGTGAATATGTCATGTATTTTGTGTGTGACATATATATATATATATATATATATATATATATATATATATATATATATATGGTACATATGTGTTTATGTGGTGTGAATAGTGTGTATGTGTGTGTTTGCTTGTGTGTGTGGTGTGTGTGTGTGGTGATGTGTAGTGGGGTGTGTATGTAAGAATATGCCATGAGTTGCCCATCATCGACAGCCTAAAGCCTTCGACCATCGATGTGACTCGTCTCACATCAGTGTTTTGGGGTTGTGAACTTGTCTAAGACCCCCCATAATTAGACATCCAAATTCAAAATTCACATAGTTGGGATTGATCATAAGATGCCTTCTCTAACTAAACAGAGAAGGGGGAGATGCCAGAAGCCAGGACCCTCGCCCTTACCCTCACCCCCTACCTTTCCCCACCTGCACAATGTCCTCTGAAGCTTGGCAACTGCAGATAGACTCAAAGCAGAGTACCATATCTTCTTAAGAATAGCAGGGAGACCATAACTCAAGCAGTGTACCATATCTTCTGAAGAACAGCAGGTAGATCATAATTCAAGGCAGTGTACCATATAGACCATGATATGTTTCAAGGCACAGGCCAAGAAGATTTTGTACTTTTCCACCACCTGGCCCCTCTTACCCCCTCCCCTTGTAAAACATGCTATAAAAAAGCATTTCATGTTCAAAAAAAAGAAATTAAAATAAAATAAATGTCAGCTAGATACTGGGATGGATTTACTAACATTTATCATCTTAGCTATCTGGATACCCTGTGGACTTCTTTGTCTATTACCAAATTATCTGCCCATTTTCCCAACTCTGTCTTAAATCAGTGTCTTCTCTTGGGTCCCCTCCAATGACCTTAAAGCTAGACCAAAGGTGAAGCCATCAGAATTCCATACAAATAAAGGTGAGTCAAAGGAACTGGTAGTACAAGTGCTAATACAATGTGAGACTCTGGAGAGCACCAGTGAGTGTGATCACTAGTCTAGACATCATCTCAACAAAATGTAGATAAAGCCACTCCCTTTGAATAGTTGGATTTGAGATGGTGCCCCCTGGTACTCACTAGAGATTAGCAGAGAGGCTGTAACCCAGAGAGCATAGGCTGAGTTAGAGTACCACCTCCCTTTGGGCAATACAGAATATGAAACGAGTCCTCACAGTCTTGGTGCTGACTTTCTGAATAGCTTCTCTCTTGGCTTTTCTGCTTAGAGCTTTCCCAAGACTGCCTGCTGCAGAGTCCTCTTTAAACAAAAGCCAGCTTTCAACATTGCTATTCTTTATACCTTAGACGTTCCTAAATGATAAAGCTTTACTAAATGCTTGTCAAAAGTAGATTCCTCACTCAGCATTCTTGTTTTATATAGTTAAATTTATATTTTCTTTTATTTTTTGAGAATTTCTTACATGAGTACGTATTTACATCATATCTATCCCTCTCCAATTCCTGCCACATTCCACTACCACTAAGAAAATTTACTTCTTTAATTATTAATATTAACATACGTACATGCATGTGTGCACACACACACACGCATACACACACACACACACCTTACTGTATCCATTTAGTGCTGCTCATATGTACGTCTGTCTAAGATTGATCACTTTAGATTGGATAGCCAATGAGGGGGCTGGTTCCTGGAGAAATCAGATTTTGCTTATCTCCACCGTCATTGATTGCCTGCAGCTTATCATCTATAGGTTGGTATTTGTGAAATTTCTCCACTCTAGGTTGTTATATTAACTGGCATTGTCATTATGCAAGTATTGTTTAGGTGACCATATTATTAAAACTTCTTGGATGCATCTTGCTTGTCATGTCTAGATGACACTACATCCCAGCAGCATCCTGGTTCTTTGGCTTTTATTATTCTTATGCTCCATCTTCTGAGACATTACCTGAGTCTTGTGTATACTTGCGTTATAGATGTGCCATTTCTGATTGGTTTCCCTATAGTCACTTAGCCTTTGTCGTTTGACCAGTCGTGGATCGGTAATAGTCTTCATTTGCTGCAAAAATAAACTTTCATAGATGAGGGGTGAGAGTTATGATTGGACTCAGCTATCTTGTTTTGTAATGTGCCTGGGATTTGATTGAATCAGGTATTTAAGGGATGGTGATATGAAAATAAGACAATGAAAAAAAAACATAATGCTCATCTCAAAGGGCATAAAAGATAGTTTATTCTGGAGCCAAATATGACTATCCACATCCTAAGAAAACAGACTCAGGTTTCCTCAAATTCCATGTTCCAATGTAGTAACAGTCTTGTGAACTTTTTATAGTCATAGGAAAAAGATAATCAAGACACTTTTCAAATGCATTGGTGGAAATATTAGCAAGATAGTCCACAGTGAAGTGGATAAATCTCAGCTATAGGCCTCAGATGTTATCTGAAGGCATCCTTTGCCCTTTTGTTCATGGAAACTAAGGTTTTGTCTGTCTCTACATTTCAAAGAACTATCTAATGGTCAGAAAGGTGTCTGGTCACACCAGAGGAGGGTAATAAATGGGTATTGAAGGGGTAAAGATTCTCCAAGATAATTTGACACTAGACTTGCATCATTCAAACTTCTCCACATCATGAAAGTTATCGATCAGCCTTTGTCATGTCAGCTTCTTTTCAGAAATTCTCGTTCTGATTGATGAAGGAAGAAATTTCTATATTCACGAATGCCAAGTGAGAGAAGGTACTTAATGGAGTATGGCAGGTTGGTCAGGAAAATGGAGTAAGAGCATGTGGACAAAAGCTTTTGTTTTTATTTTCACAAGCAAAGCTAAGGCATGATAAGAAGCCTGACATCAAGTAGTTTGAATAATCTCAGTTGACTCAAGGGCTGTTCCAAGTTTATCCAGCGCTGGGTCCTAGAGTGATAAGGACAGGTGAACAGTCATCTGCAGTCTAAGGACTGGGTTGGGTTGGTTTGTTTGCACATAAAGATGAGCTCTCCCATCTTTAGAAGTTAACTGGTCCCAGTCTGGTAGAGTATGCAGGAACAGGAAGGCCCTCAAATGTCAAAGTGTCAAAGTAAATAAAATAATACAGTTAATGCATCCATCAGTCCCAAACACACCGCTAATCTTAAAGCATAGCCATGATTGTGTTGCTCATTCATACCACTTCTAGAGCATGAAGCTTGGGTTAGGGTCAGGATGTGAGAAGGCTTGTGTTCTCATCTCTTGACACAAACCTGTTTTTCAGTTAGTGCTGTTGGTTTGCTGAGGCATGGGCTTCAGCTCTCAGCTGTAGGTTCTATAGCTAGAGGACAGAAGTAGTTCTCCACCAGCATTGCTTGGAGTCATGAACATTCTCTTAGAACTCTTGGCTGTTATTTACATGGGAAGATGTGTTACTCACTCATAATAAGAGAAAAGTGTTGAAGCATCATAGTAATCAAGTTTTTCAGCTTTGAGTTTGAAAGTTGGCAGGGTGTTTAAGAACTATACTTATGTATGCTCCTGAGGTTTTTTCTTTAGGGACCCTTATATGCTGAACCACATGCTCTACCACTGAGCTATGTCCTCAACCTTATTGTTGCTGTTTCACGATAGTGCCAGTGTGTTGGGGAACAGGTGACAGAGACATTGCTCTCCACTCTCTCTCATGGACTGTGGAGTTCCCCTAGAGTTTTAGGGACTCTGACTCAGTTCACATCAATATTTAGACTTTGGTGCTGTGAACATATCCCTGAACATTTCAGGGATAACAGGTTATTAAAAACTGGAGATCTTATTAAAAGTATCTTAACATAGGCTTAGGAGAAAGAGAAGAGCTCAGAAGAAAGTAAAACATTCACACGTGTGGTACAGATACTTCAAGGGAGAGTTGTTGCTCACTGATTCTTACAACAGTCCGATGTAGGGTTTTGGTAGCATTGGGGGATTTCTGAGGGAGACCTCACAGTATTACAAATGAGAAGGCTACAGGGTTATAGGAAGGTAGGAATTCTTTACTATAAACCAAGTTTTCCAGGCCTTCAGAAGGGATAAGAGCCCTTCTGAAGGTCATATACATTCAGGCTGTAAGCCCAGGTCATTGCTATTTTAACATGAAATATGTATATATGTAAGAATGTTGATGCTGTATTTGGCCTTTACAAGTGCTAATTGTACTGGATTTCTAACTTCTCTGCTGGCAATAGGCTTATTCAGAAGCCAGGATGAGGGTTTCCTTTCCCTTTCATGTCCCATAATTTCTTTGTCTTCCTAATATGGCTCAATAGGGTCCCACTCACTAAATTGCCCAAGCTGGCCTTGAACTTACGACATTTTTGCCTCCTCCTCAAATGTACTATACTACGAAGGCTGACAGTATTGTCAAAATCTTGTTTGTAAGCTGATAATAACTCTAACTTCTACAGAGGGTGATTCTTAGAAATATAAAAATGGGCTCGTGAGAAGGCTCTGAGGGGATGAGATGCTTCCTGCCAAGCCTGACACCCCAAGTTTGATCCTCTGGACCCACATGGTGGAAGAAAAGAATGGGCTCCATCAAACTGACCTCTGACACATGCATTCCACAGAACACAAAAAACACATACATGCACACAAGGAAATAATTTTATAAAATAGACATGTTTTTAAGGTATAGAAACAATGTCAATAGATTTTTGAGGAGGGAGAAGTGAGGAGATACATTCAAGAGGGAGATGCTGAGACAAACTGCCCTTCAGGGTAAAGGATTCATTAGGTGAGTATCTTAGTTATTACTCTTCTATTTCTGGGAAGAGACACCATGACCAAGACAACTTATAAAAGCATTTGATTGGGAGCTTCTTTACAGTTTCAGAGTTATCATCACAGCATGAAGTATGGCTGTAGGTATGGAGATATGGTCCTGGAACAGTAGCTGAGAGCTCACATCTAATCTGCAAATTGTAGTCAGAGTGAAAGGGAGACTGTGCCTGGTGTGGGCTTTTGAAACCACAAAGTCCACTCTTTTGAGAAAGTTACATACTTTCTCCAACAAGGCCACACCTTCAAAGTGTGTCCTAAACAGTCCACCAGTTAGGGAACCAAGCATTCAAATATATGAGCCTATGAGGGACCATTCTCATTCAAACCACCAGAGTGAGTTATTAATGCCACATGGAGTGTGGTGCAGTTCTTGGAACACAGCCTCACATCCCTTCCAGATAAAGCATGAGTCTCCCTCTTAGGGGTTTCAACGGCATTAGGCTGCCTCAAATTCTTTGTACAGCATAGGGAAGAAAGAGAAACAGAAAGCTCACATCTAATGTTCCCAGCCAGTTATAACAATCAGAGAGCAGGGTGTCACTGACATCTTTTTTCTAACAAATGCTTTGACTTTTTCTTAAGACTGTTGAAGTACAAATGGTGTTTACTTTTTATTAAATTTATCTTAGATTTATTTTGAGTTTTTTTTTGGATTGTTTTGTTTTGTTTTGTTTTGTTTTGTTTTGTTTGAGACAAGGTCTCACTACGTAGTCTTGGCTGGTCAGAGAACTCACTCTGTAGACCAGGCTGGTCTTGAACTCAGAGTTCCTCCTCCCTCTGCCTCCTGAGTGTTGGGATTAAAGGTGTGTGCCACCACATCTGGTTGGGATTTATTTTAATGGTGACGCTGAAGGCAGGATGAAAGCCCTGTTACCTCTGCCTCAATTGTGTCTTCCTATTTACTTTTGGTCACATTCCTACACATGCTAATCTCTAAGGAGCATCTGTCAATCAAATCTGCCTTATCCACCTTCTGGGACTGAAGCTGAAAAAATGCTGGGAGGGCCACCTTAACTAGGACTACTTAATTACATATACTCTGGCTCCAAATTTGTCTCTATTTAAACCTAATGCTCACATCACTACCTTGAAGGTGAATGTGGGGTCACTGGATCCCTAATTTGTTCCTCTTCCTAATGCATCTGTTTGAATCTCTGTGCTTTGAATCATGGCTTGTCTCTTTAACATGAGTTTTTAGTGGCATGTTAGGTTCTGAAGAATAACTTGTTGGGACTGCAGGAGGTAGGGCTTCTGCCCTAGACCCCAGTTACAAAGCTTCATCTGTATCTCATACCCTATTTGTAGCAAACTTCACATAAGAATCTTCTAAACTCACCATCTAAAGCTCTTTTCTCTTGTTTCTTCAAGCCTGCTTTAGTCATTACCTTTCTACCAGACTGCTAATGCCTCCTTTACCCAGGTCTCTTAGGCCTTATGCCCAGGCTAGTAGCCAGTTTTCAGTTCTTAGTGTAACTAAACTATCAGTAGTCCACAATCTTTTCTCCCCTGCAGTGTTTCACTGTGTCAGGTGAAGGCATATGGAAAGTTTGGCAGTGGACCCCAAATACCCCAAATGCTGAATATATGTAATTAGCACTTTCTTGACACTCCTATTGCTGTCATAGGCTTGATTGACTGTCTCTTCTGAGGTTTGAATATCAGAGCAATCAGGACTATTGCTCAGTTCTATCAGGAAAATGCTCTCTCCTTTCTGCACCAGTGTAGCCACAGGAAATGAGAAAAGAAAAGACCGTATGTGTCACAAAAGGCAGTTTCCTCAAGAGGTCAGGACTTAGAGGTGACTGTCCAATATACATATACATACTTTACCAATTGCTTTTGTTGAATCTGTGCAAAAGTAATTCTTTTTTTCTTTTTAAATTTCATCGACAGAGGGTGCACTGACTCCTTCAGAGAGCATTCACATGTTCGCAGCACATCCTACAGCTCCCAGACCCAACTCTAGGAATGAAGGTATCTGGGATTGCACCATGAATTGCCCTGTAGTTTCCTTTTATTACAGCATCTTACAACTTGAGACCGTTATGGTAGGTGACAGGTGACAGGAGTTACTATCAAGGGTTAGTACAGCTATGGGCAAGGAATCAGTTTATCTACAATTCACAGGTTGCTATGGGTCAGCAAATCTACAGATGTTGTTACAGTGACCAGTGCATTGATAGCATAAGAATAAGAGGTTGGATAAGAGATGTCCAAATGCAGGACCTCTGGGGTTTGCAGAAGTAAATTTTAAAAAATTATTAAAATTGAGCATTAGTAATGAATTAAAATGTGTTTATGTCTCTGTGTCTATGGTGCCTGTGACTGGGTAGACATCAGAGGACATCTTTCACGGCTTGGTTCTCTCCTTCACTCTGTAGGTCCTGGGAATTAAACTAAGGTGGTTGGGTTTGTGTCAACTGCCTTTACTTGATACGCCATTGTTCTAGCCTCAAAATTGATTGTGTTTATGTGAGCTGTGCAGTCTCAATGTTAATATTTTCTTCTGAGATAGGATCTCACTATGTAGCCTAAGCTGGCTCTGAACTCACAGAGATCCCTGTGGCTGTGCCTATTTAGTGCTGAAATTAAAAGTGTGTGCTAGAATGCCTGGCAGTATTTTTTTCCTCTTCAAAATTGATGTTTGTTCAAAGAAGAAGGAGGTGGAGTAGGAAGAGTAGGAGAGAGGAAGAAGAGGAAGGAAGGAAAGAAAGAAAGAAAGAAAGAAAGAAAGAAAGAAAG